CTCCATCTCTGCAGTCTCTGTTTTGATTCATTGGTCTATATTCCTGTTCTTGTGCCAGTACCAGATTGTTTTGGTTAAAATGGCTTTGTAATATAGCTTGATATCTGGTATTGTGATTCGTTCAACTTTGTTCTCCTTTCTCAAAATTGCTACAGCTATTCAGGGTCTTTTATGATTGCATATACATTTTTGGAGTATTTGTTCTAGAACTGTAAAATATGCTGTTGGTATTTTAATAAGAATTACATTGAGTCTGTATATTGCCTTGTGTGGTATGGATGAATAAGCCAAATTGAGAAAGACAATTTAATTATATCAATTATTCCATGAACATGGTATATGCTTCCATTTGTTTGTATCATCTTCTATTTATTTTATCAATGTCCTATCATTTTCCAAGTGCAGGTCTATTACTTCCTTGGTTAAGTTTATTCCTAGGTATCTTTTTGTTGTTGTTGTTGCAATGATAAATGGCGTTCCTTTTTTAGTTTCTCCTTATGAGAGTTTATTATTAGTGTATAAAAATTTTATTGATTTCTGGATTTTGATTTTGTATCCTGCTACCTTACCAAATTCCTTTATTAAATCTAGTAGTTTTCTGGTAGAGTTTTTAGGGCTTTCTATGTACAATATCATGTCATCTGTGAATAATAACAGTTTTACTTCCTCCTTTACAATTTGGATGCCTTTTTTTTCTTCTTCCTGTCTGATCACTGTGGCTAGGATTTTCAGTACTATCCTATATAATAAAAGCCTAATATGCAATAGTGTCCAGTTGTCCAGTTAGCCGTTCAACCAATCAAAGCATTATATGCTAATTATATGGTAAGGCTGCTCAGTTGTTCACTATGATGTGCACTGACACCAGGGGGCAAACACTCTGACCAGTATCTTGCTGCTGAGGTCTGGCTGATCAAAACTGAGCAAGACAGGCCGGACATGCCCTGGAGCCCTTCCTCGGTCCCTCCCTGGCTGTCCAACCTCCTGCATCTCTCCCTGGCTCAGATCGTACACCAGTGGGGTCCCTCAGCCTGGCCTGCACCCTCTCACAATCTGGGACCCCTTCGGGATGTCAGAGAGCTGGTTTCAGCCCAATCCCACAGGCCAGGCCAAGAGACCCCACTGGTGCACAAATTTGTGCACCGGGCCTCTAGTGTTGAATAAGAGCGGTGAAAGTGGACTTTCCTGTCTTGTTCCTGTTCTTACGGGAAATGGTTTTAGCTTTTGCTCATTGAGTATAACTTTGGCTGTAAATCTGTCATATATGGCCTTTATTATGTTGATGTATGATCCCTCTATTCCCACTTTGCTGAGATTTTTTATTAAAAAAGGGGGGGAGGGGGTGTTGGGTTTTGTCAAATGCTTCTTTGGCATCAATTAATGTGATGTTTTGTCATCCAATTTGTTTATGTGATGTATCACATTTATTGATTTGCGAATACTGTACCAGCCTTGCATCCCCAGAATAAATTCCACTTGGTCATGGTGTGTGATCTTTTCAATGTATTGCTGGATCTGATTTGCTAATATTTTGTAGAGGATTTTAGCATCTATGTTTATCAGGGATATTTGCTTGTAATTCTCTTTGTTTGTAGTGTCTTTATCTGGTTTTGGAATTAGGCTAATGCTAGCCTTGTAAAAAGAGGTTGGAAGTGTTCCTTACTCTTGGATTTTTTGGAATAGCTTAAGTAGGATAGGTGTTCTTTGAATATTTGGTAAAACTCCCCTATGCAGTGATCCAGACCAGGGCTTTTGTTTTCTGTGAGTTTTTGTTTTTTATTACTGCTTCAATTTCATCAGTAGTTATCAGCCTATTCAGGTTTTCTGACTCAGTTTTGGAAGATTGTATGTTTTCAGAATTTTGTCCATTTCATCCAGGTTGTCCATTTTGTTGGGGAAAAGTTGTTCATAATATTTGCTTACAATCCTTTGTATTTCTGTGATGGCCATTGTTATATTGCCTCTTACATTTCTGATTTTATTTATTTGGGTCATCTTTCTTTGTTTCTTGATGAGTCTGACTAAAGGTTCATCAATCATCAATCTTGTTTATCTTTTCAAAGAACCAGCTCTTGGATTTATTGATCTTTTGTACTGTTTCTTTAGTCTCTGTGTCATTTAGTTCCACTCTGATCTTTATTATATCCTTCCTTCTACTTTCTCTGGGTTTTTCCTACAGTTCCCTTTCATTTAGTTGTAGGGTTGGATAGTTTACTAGTCCTTTTCCTTGTTTCTTGAGTTGGCCTGTAGTGCTATGAACTTCCCTCTCAGAACTGCTTTTGCATATCCTATAGGGTTTGTTGTGTGTTCATTTTCATTTGTTTCCAGGAAGTTTTTAATTTCTCCTTTGGTCTCTTTTGTAACCCATTTATTGTTTAATAACGTGATATTTAGCCTCCATGTATTTGAGGGTTTTTTTTTTATTGTAGTTGATTTCTAATTTCCTGCTATTGTGATCTGAGAAAATGCTTGGTATTATGTCAATCTTCTTGAATTTGTTATGGACTTGTTTTGTGTCCTAACATGTGGTCTATCTTTGAGAATGTTCCATGTAAGCTTGAGAAGAATGTGTGTTCTGTTGTTTTGGGGTTAAAGGGTCTATAAATTTTGGTTAGATTCATCTGATCTAGTGTGAACATTTTTATTTTTATACCCAGTTCTTCATCACCAGATTTAAGCTCTAGCACTAAACTTACAGCAAGCAGAAAGAGCACAGGACAACTAAATGTGAACCCTGGAACAGGTAGTGGCAACACAGCAACTGCAGAACGGAGCCGGCATCAGAGAAGCTTCTCTGTGCCCAAGAAGTTTGGTGTTATCGACCGATCCTCAGACCCACCTCGGAGTGCCACACTGGACAGAATTCAGGCTTGTACCCAGCAAGGTCTCTCCTCAAAAACCAGGAGCTCATCCTCCTTGAAGGACAGCCTCACAGACCCATCACACATAAACCATCCAACCAACCTGTTGGCCACCATCTTTTGGGTCACAGTGGCCTTGATGGAATCTGATTTTGAGTTTGAATACCTCATGGCCTTAAGGCTGTTGTACAGACTTCTGGCTCACATGCCACTCGATAAAGCTGAGAATCGAGAAAAACTTGAGAAACTCCAGGCACAGCTCAAGTGGTCAGACTTCTCAGGGTTACAGCAGCTGCTGCTGAAAGGGTTCACCTCCCTCACCACCACAGACCTGACCCAGCAGCTTTTCAGTTTGCTGACACCAGTGTCCAAAGTATCCATGGTGGACTCATCCCAAGCCATCGGTAAAGCAAATACACTCCCTATCTTACAAGTCTGGTATTTAGGCCTATGTTTAGCTAATAAGAAATTATGGGCTTACTGCTTTTAGCAGCTCTGCTTGGAAACGGTTTGTTGGGACTAGTTTGTTTTACCTTTTAAAATTTATATAATGTACGTCATAATTATTTATATTTTAGAAGATATTTTTAAAGCAATAGTATAAAAGGAGCAGAAGAAATACATATGCTATCAGAAATTTCTTTATTATTTCCATATCAAATTGCAGATACTGCAGTTTATTCCATTGCTCTTGTACAGATATTATTTCCCTTTTTTTTAAACTCCTAAGTCTTTTATTTTTCTTAGATTTTCTTTTCCTCTTGAGAACTCTCTTGAATTAAGCCAAATCAACAAATTAAATTTTTTTAAAAAAATGTTTTTATTGATTTTAGAGAGAGAGGAAGAGAGAAACATTGATCAGCTTCCTCCTGCACACCCGTACTGGGCATAGAACCTGCAACTCAAGCATGGGCCCCGACTGGGAATCGAACAGGCAACCTTCCTGTGTCTGAGATGATGCTCAACCAACTGAGCCACAATGGCCATTGCAACAGACTAGATTTTTAATACTATGACATGTGGCCCAGGATTCTTTTCATGGAGTTAGTGGTTATCACAATGGTGCTAAGCAAATCCTCAACATTTTAAAGAGCCTTTTTGATTACATGAATGAAATTTAAATGATTCACCTATGTCCTCTATACAAGTTTTCCCTGAACCATGTTTTCTGATAAAGTTTCAAACCAGAGCTTCCATTCATTTTATTCTGCTTTTTAAATTTTTGGTTGTACATTTTCCTGGATTTTGTTAGATCATATTAAAGCTGCTTCAAAAGACTGTACTTGCATAGCCTCAAAATGAAATCTGTAATATGCTTTCCCACTGTTAATAGCCAAAATGCACCATATTAAGCCATCTCCATTATATCCTCTCTAATCCAGGGTTTCCTTTGAATGTCCTGTGTCTCCTGCCCCAGCTGATTCAGCACTTTGAAAACCCAAGCCAGTTCTGTAAGGATATAGCCAACAGGATTGCTCAGGTATGGCTTATAGTTCTGTTCAGACAGACCCATTCAGGCCTCCCAAAAGGCCCAGTGTTGGACAGAAAGTACCAGGCTTGGACATGGCAATGAGTTTCACAAAACCCGAAAATAATAACTTTCTGGGTGGCTGATACATACTCTTTTTTGGTTTCATTATTGAAAAAGCAGGTAGAAAGAATTTGTGAAAATTATATTACTAAGATAAGCACTTACACAGCCTATAAAAAGTGTGTGTGTGTGTGTGTGTGTGTAATCTGATTTCCTGACTGCTGGGACTGATACTGAAATTGCTGACATATCTTCCTATTCATCTGGCCATTTTATTCCTGATTGATTTTCCTTTCCTTAAGGTTTGTTTGGAAGAGAAGAATCCCAAACTTTCAAATCTTGCACATGTCATGACTCTTTATAAAACACACAGCTATACGAGGGACTGTGCCACCTGGGTCAACGTGGTCTGCCGGTACCTTCATGAAGCATATGCTGACATCACCTTGAACATGGTTACCTATCTGGCAGAGGTAAGCTCTTCAATTAAGGATAAAATTTATTAGGAACCAGAGAGGAGGGAGCCCAATTCCGAGGTGCGTCACCCAAGCACTGCCCTCTCGCAATCCGGGACCCCTCACAGGATGTTGGAGAGCCGGTTTAGGCCCAATCCCCACAGGCCAGGCCGAGGGACCCCACCTTCTGGAAGGACCCCGCTCACTCCGCAGATGCCCTTCAAGCTGCAGCACTGCCCCAGGTGCGGCCGGGGAGGGGCCACGGGAGGTTTGGCCCGTCTTTCCCAGTCCCACCCCGCTGGCCACCTTCTAATTAATTTACTTTTGATGTGCATGAATCCATGTACTGGAGCACTATTTATTATAATAAAGACTATAGATGTCCCCACAGCTTAAATTCTTAACATTGCACTAACACCCGTCAGCACATGGCAACAAAGAAAACTTTATCCTAATTACTTTCAGTGTTCAAATCTTATTTAAGAAGTCAGTATGTGGTTTGATATGTTTAATGATTCACAAAGCATACATTTTGAAATAAACTTTTTATATTCACCTCTTATGTTTGCTTTTAAAATTGAATGGGATTTTTGTCCTCCTACAAATATTTCTACTCTGATTTTGGTGCACATTGGTGTTAGGAATACACAGTATATAGGACAAGGGATGACATGTATTCTGTTTAGCAGCTCCAGTGCACAAGGTCAGGAACTCTATGAGGAAATGACTGAGAGCAATTCCTTTAGCATTTTCAGTGTTGCTTTTCATTTGGGGACATGCATTTGTACCTCTGCCAGGACCTTGTCAGAAGTGGTGAGGACAGCCCATTCTAACTTTAGTTATGTCACTCACTCAGAGTCCAGATAGGTTAAAGCAGTGATGGCGAACCTATGACATGAGTGCAGAGGTGACACGTGAACTCATTTTTTTGGTTGATTTTTCTTTGTTAAATGGCATTTAAATATATAAAATAAATATCAAAAATATAAATCTTTAACTATGGTTGCAAATATCAAAAAATTTCTATATGTGACACGGCACCAGACTTAAGTTAGGGTTTTTAAATGCTGACACGCCGAGCTCAAAAGGTTTGCCATCACTGGGTTAAAGAATCAATCACTTTCTGAAAGGCTCACAGGACTGAAGGCCTCTGCCTAGAAGAGGGTAGTTGTTTCTTAATTTATTGTTGATCCTGCAGAATTTTGATTTGTGATATGTGTCCAAAATATGTAATCTGTACTCAGCTGTCAACAACCCTGATTCATTTGCTCATTTCCTCCCATCCCTGGCACTCATAAGTGCCACCTGGCTGCTTCTGATTATCACCTTGGTCCATCTGTCCCCATAAGAGTTACTAAACCAGCACATGCACACCTCAGATTACAGGAGTACAGGATAACCCCTGCAAATGCCCTGCTTACAAAGGCAGATGGTGCCTGTCTTTACAAAGGTGACATGTGAAGTAGCAAGGAGACAAACTTATTTAGATTGTAAGACATAAAAGTTTCAAAAATATAAAAGAGATGTGATATATCCATACAAAGGAATATTGAGATTTAAAAAGGAATGAATACTGACACCTGCTACAACATAGATGAACCTTGAAACCATTATACTCAGTGAAATAAGCCAGGCACAAAAGGACAAATATTACATGATTCCACTTATATGAAGTATGTAGAATAGGCAAATTTATAGAGACAAAAAGTAGAATAGTGATTACCAGTGGCTGGGGGCAGGAATTGATGAAGGGTTACTGTTTAATAATTTTAGCTAGAGGCCCGTGCACAAAAATTTGTGCACTCAGGGGGGAGAAGGGGGGTCCCTCAGCCCGGCCTGTGCCCTCTCGCATTCTGGGACCCCTCGGGAGATAACGACCTCCTGGCTTAGGCCGGCTCCCGGGTGGCAGAGGGCAGGTCCAATCCCTAGGTGCAGCCCCTGGTCAGGCTCAGAGCAGGGCCGATTGGGGAGTTGGGGCCATGCTCCCTGTCATGCACAGAGC